TCGGCCAGCAGTATGGGGCGAAACGGGTAGGGAAGGTCATGGGTGAGCAGCTAACTGGCTCTATGATCAGGGACACACCTCTGACGGCAGAGAGGCGACCTCTGCAGAGCCATCTCTCGCCTCCCCCCTTCCCAGCAGCTGGTCTACTATGAGCAAGATTTCCATTCTAGAAGATAGGGAGGTTATCTTAATCCTCTACTCTGCACAACCACCGGACACCCAGGGAAGTCACACTCGGCTCAGGAGGGTTAAGTGACTCGAGCAAGGTGGGCATGTGACTGAGGTGGCTCTCGCGGGGGGCCGAGAAAGAGCAGTCAACCAAAGTGGAGCCTGTCAAGGCCTCAGTCGCCAGGTCAAGCCCCACTGGCGCATGGGCCAACAGGCGTTGTTTCTGCCTTTTCCCTAGACGAGCGAGCTCCTGAACTCCCAGGCCCGCCCGGCAGGGCACTCCCCTATGTTTGCTACAGGAAACCCTGAAAGCTCGACTAGGCCTCAATGGCTCTGTTCCGCGAGGTGAGGCGCCGTACCTGGGAGCCAGGAAGCAGCCTCAGCGCAGGGCAGGGCGGGGCCTCAGCGCTCTGCGTTCCTCTTTCCCGGCCTGGCCAGGGTTCCACGGGTTCGAGCTGGGAAGCCTACGGGACCCACTGGGACACTGGGCCGGTCCCACCGGGAAAGCTAACCGGCTCCCCCTGGGAAGGGAAGCGGGTCCGACTGGAAAATAGAACCGGGTTCCACTGGGACACTGGGCCGTTCCGACTGGGACAGGAACCCCAGCAACCAGACCAGATCCAGCTCATTTTTGCCATCTACACCTTTGCCATGGTCAGTGGCCTCAGCTGGCTCCTCATCTAGCAAGAGCGCCCCTGCCCTCCCCCCAGGGCTTAGGCGTGTGCCGGGAGCTGGGTCTTGCGCTCTTCCCAGCGCCAAGGAGGCACCCTTGCTTGCATTGCTGTCCCTGGGGAAATGTGTCTTCTTTATGGCCAGGGGAAATATTTGTGTATCACTTTGTGTCTAGCATACAGATGGCCCAATAAATATTTGTCGAATGAGTAAACGAGGGGCAAGTATTTGCCGAACACTCATACCGGCGCTACCCGGAGATGTGTATGCCGATAGGCCAACTTGCTCCTTAAGACAGTCCTGTAGTGTGGGAGCCACCAGGATCTTCCTTGGTGATGTAAGAAAGGGGGGCACAGGCATGGAGGACAGAACTGGACGTTTAGTGGTGAACGAAATGTTAGTAGATACTTACGCTGAGTCTCAAAGATGCAACCCTGAAACTTAGTGTTACAATGCATTGTTACTTCAATTAATAAAAAGATCTCTTTGTATACCCTATCAACCACCACCTGGGTGCAGCGACCTGAAGTGCTGGCTTGGCAGGGTTGCCCGCCTGCCTTTAGAGGGCTTCAGTGTGGGAGAGAAGAGCGACCAGGGCGGGCAGGGGTTCCGGGCAGCGGCCAGCAGGCTGAGTCTTCAGATGCTAACAACGTGGTTAGGCCACCAGCCTCGTCCCTTGCTCACCCGCTGTCACTGGGAGCTCCAGACCCAAGTGCGCCGCCCAGGCTTTCTTTACTCCCGCCCGAGACCAGCCCCTGCCCAGCCCGACTCCAGCCCGGGGGGAGTCCTCGAGTGGCCCCCAGTGGAAGGCGCGCCGGCGCCGACTCCGCGCAGCCAGGGAGCTCCCGGCGGCAGCGCCCACTCCACACCCGAGCCCGCCCAGGTGCCCTCCAGCTCCGGGCCAAAGCGCGGGCGGCTAGCACGGTGACAGTCGCCGCCTCTCCCAGCAGGGC